TTCTCTTCTTCTGAGGTTGGCATATCTAGTGACTGCTGAGGGAACAGAGGCAAAACCACCTTCAGAGAGAGCCAACGACTCCTGGAAGCGTCTTTGAGTCCCCCATTTCCGCGGCTTGTCTTTTTCTGCCTGGTGGATCTTCTCTCAGGTCGAAGGCCCCTTTTTTGGAAGAGGACTGCTGCTGCTGGTGTCTTGAAGAATTCTTTCATTAAGGAACAAGGCAGGCCTCCTTTAGGCCATCATTACGGTGAATACTCCCACTAAGGGTCTCTTTGGGCAGGCACCGTTCATTTTCTGAGCGAGTGTTTAGGGAAAGGAAATTCTTCAATTTCTTGGCAACTGGGGCAGCAATGGGAGAACTTAATTCAAACCCATCAGAGTTAGCTGTGCCTGGAATTCCTAGGGACAGGTCTGGTGGGGACTCCCCGGGCAGCTCTGTTCTTGCTTGGCAGGGATTTCTCCTGCACTTTTTAATATAATTGAACTCCTGGTAACATCTTATGGCCTTTCTCTGGTGAATTCACTTTCAATTCTGTGTGCCTGGCTTCTCAGTTTGGTTTGACCTACATGCCTGATTTAAAATTTCTTGTGAGACTCCCTGAGAGATTCTTAAACATCAATTACAGGCTTAACATGTAAAGGATTTTCAGGTCTCTGTATTTTCTTTCTTCTGCCGATTTCACATCTGTTGACTCTTTTGCTTATATTAAGATAACTTTATTATTCAAGGTTGCCTGAAGTTTCCTATTTCAGATAGTCCTAGTAAAATGCAAACATCTAAGAGTTAACTCCTAAACTCATTTGCTCAAAAGACTATAAATAAAGACCTTCAAGTTTATCCATATGATAAGGTGACCTTAACTGTTCCATTTTTTTCATAAATATAATTTAGATACAACTCTCTTCTTCTAAACTGATAAAGTTATATTACTATATTACTATCTTCTCAATTTGTTGGTAAAGTAAAAATGAAGTTGTCTTCAGAATTGTTAGTACACGTTTTTGCTTAGGTATCGTGGCTCAACAGGGTTATATCTATCTCTGTCAAATGTTTAGGATCATGAAACGACAAGTCTGACCTAAGAACTACTATGCAGATGAGAACAGAGTGCATTGTGGGTTCTTCCCGACTATCAAGTGTAGCACCTTAATGTTTAAAGGTTTTCCTTGACAAAGAAGTAACATGAAATGGCAATGCTCATCTAATACCTCAGTTTTCATAAGGAATCTGGGAATCATTGCTTAAAAATAAGCAAATGAAGTAAATATGCATGAGTTAAATGCCTCTGAATATAAATATAAATTCAAAACTTCATAGCTACTTAAATTTCATGAAGTAAAGACTATACATATTGGCCTACTGACATATACACTTTCATCAAAGTCTGGCATATGACGAAAAATTCAAGGTTTCTTCCTTCCTGAGTCTTCATTAAAAATTACCAAGAGTTAAAAATTCTGGCCGAGCACAGTGACACATGCCTTTAATCCCAGTGTCTCAGGAGGCCAAGGAAGAATTGCAAGTTTCAAAGCCAGCCTCAGCTACGGCGAGGTGCTAAGCCACTCAGGGAGACCCTGTCTCTAAATAAAATACAAAATAGGGCTGAGGACGCAGCTTACTGGTTGAGTGCCCCTGAGTTCAATCCCTAACACACACAACAAAAACTCTGATTAACATGTCGTTTTATGTATAAATAACAAAGAAACCAAGATGTGTTTGGATTTTTTAAAAATGTACTTAAAAAAAGACTAAATCTTTTACTGAGAAAAGAAATAATTTTATCTAAATTTAAAGATTTTAAAGAAATGTTCTGAAATGTAAATTTGAGAAAGAAAACAAGGCGGAAAGTAGCCAGAGAGCAGGAGAGAGAAACAGAAGAGAGATGCGGACGAGGATCTCCTTTTGCTGGGAAGATTGAAAAAGAGATTTCTTTTTCCATAGAAAGGGATTTATTTGTAGCAAATAAAACTGCTATCCTGATGTCGAACGGCTGGACTGTTCCAAAATGGGAGAAAAGAACAAAGGGCACAACTAACGGCCGAAGCAGGCTGCAGGCTCAGAGCAGATCTCAGGGTTCTACAGGACCCGTCTCGGGAGAAGAAACGGGTGTGACCTCGTCGGCTCCCGTCTGTGAAAGTCATCTGCAGGATTCTGAGTTTTCACAACATTCATACACCGATATAAAATCTGAATCTAATTCTCTATTTTGAAGCAACAAAATTTTCTTAAAATATTTCTCTGATTTTAGTAAAATTCACAAAAATTGGCCTGGGAAACAAGGACTTTTTGTTTTAGCAAGTTCATATCATGTTTTCGGCTGTCTTTATTAGGTTTCTGATGGCTTAGAAAAAAACCAAAATCTTAAAAACAGTTAAAGTCTTTTTAAGCATCTATTTGTTTTAAAGTCTTTTAAGAGATTATTACTGGTAAAAAAGCTTAAAACTAAATGACTACTACTTGACAATGATGCTTACTATTTATTATTAATGTAAACATTCTAAGGTTGTGCAAAGTCATATGAAATCTTTTAAAAGTCTGATGGCCTGGCATGAAGGCTTCAGTCATGACTGGCATCTCACAGCACTGAATGCAACAAAAGTCACTAAATTTTCTTGTCATCTGCTGAATTCATCAGAATCTAGAAATGCCTATTCTTCCTTGAAGCACCTGTAATCAGATTCGTAAAAACACTCTAACAAATAATCAAGCACAATTTTCTGATAAAACAAAACTCACTTTATAAACAAACTCGTTTTCCTTTCAAGTACCTTTGGTAAAAATTAGTCTGGCTATAAAGAAAAAAGATAATGTTGCTTGATTCAAATTATTACACGGACTGCCGTTTATTCTCCTGTGGACATTTCTGGATTTTCCTTTGTAAATTTGTACCTGTTGCCTGTCAAAACCCTGCAGAAATACAACTCCTGGTAGAACAGCCTGGCTCAGCGCTTCAGAGGACCCCCCTCCCGCCAAGTGGAGAGCACCAACTGCACTGTGGCTTCACCTGGGAACCTCTCCCCTGGTCCTCCTGTCTGAGACGGGACAATGACTCCCAGTCACCAATCACTTCCGTCCCCAATGTGGGAGCAGAAGGACAGCCCAGAAAACCACATCCCAGCAGCGATGGCCAATCAAGCCCCAAGTGTGAGAGGGCCAATCGGCAGTGTGTTCAGGGAAGAATCTTGATCAAAAGCAGAGAACGTGGAAGAAATGTGAAAGTTGTCAAAATAAAAACGGACCCACTGTGTCAACCCTATCAAAAGAAGCAAATTATGAAAGAAGGGTCAGCAGCTCTCAAAAGAATCTGCCAAAACCGCAGGCTTTCTCAGAGCCACAGCAACCCTGTACACGGAGGACCAGGACATCTGCCCAGCCACCGACCACTCACCTCGGGCTGGTAACTCTTGGCATCAGTCATTCCAGCCAAAGATTACTACTTAAAATTCCTGCTGGAATCCTCCTCATTTCGCCTCTAAACCCTTCCCCTGGCCTCAGCCTCCTTGCAAACACCCACAGTTTGCTATGGAACACATATTCCCAATGCAACGCTCTGCCAGTCCAGAATAAATTTCATAATTCTTGGAGAATCAATCTCTGTCCCTCTCTCTATGACAAATATGTTTGTCTTGGCACTGAATGGTGAGTAGATGGAACATCTACCTAATGAGACCTACGTATAAATTTTGGAGAATTTACTTGCTCCAGTATGAAGCATGGTCCATACAGGCATGACCGCAGAAGCTGGGTCCCAACATGTCACCTCCTCATCAGCCTTTCCCTAAACCCCATGCAGTCCCTAGGATTTGGAACAGTCACCCAGGGAGTAGACAATTCAAATACCAGCCTCTCAGTGGGATGAAATACGGGTAGTCAGAATTAATGGCCCACTCTAGATTTGTGTGATTTCAGTCTCAGACGGCGGGGACAGTTGACTTTGTTTTATAGAAGTGAGAAACGGGGTTCTGGCCAGAGAAAGGTCTACATGAAGGGGCTGCACAAAGCCACCCCTCCTATTTTTCTTCCTCCAGAAGAACACTCCCACCCAGGTGAACTCTTCATGTCGTCTCTTAGCATAAACATTGGCAACAGGCAAACACTCCAGTGATATGATGAAGGTGAACCAGCAGGCAAACGTGGCGCCCACCAACCCAGACGGCACAGAGGACTGCGCCAGACAGTGCCTTCTCAGTCCGGCCAGCAACCACCCAGCGAGCATTTCCCAATGAGCGCTGCTCGTCGCTGGAAAAGCTCAGAGGAATCACAAACATCACCAAGCCTGGGGACAGAAGAAGATGAATGGAGAAGCCCAGCATCCAGACACAAAAGAAAGAGAATAAATCTATGCCATCAGGATGTCATTCTGCAGACCTCACACCTGTGTCCAATAAATGAGGAAGGTTAAGGAATTATGCACAGCTTTTAAGCTTTCAATAAAACCGCCTGACAAATGTAAAATATTAACTCAGCCTGTCCAAACAGAAAAAAAAAGTGATTAATAAAAAGGATGGGGAGATCATGAGGAAAAATATAAGGTGTTCTTCAGGATAAATGAGTTGACGAATCATCAGAATTCATAGGACTCTGAGCAGGGTTGGAAGAAACCCTGTCGAAGATGGCAAAGTTCAGATGATGACAGAACCATTACTTCTAAATTTAAACAAAACCTGAACTTTTTTTTTTGCCATCATCTCAGTGGAAGCTAGTAATTGCCACCCCAGGATAGACAACCCCACGGTTTAAAGACCACAATGTATGCTGATTGTCCTCAGGCTATGGTGTGCACCTAAATGACAAAGTACCACCTTCTGCACTCATTTCCCAATGAGCTGCTACTACACTGCGTCAATCACTGTTCTCTTGTAAGGGCTACGTCTCCCTGTCCTGCGCTGGACCTGATTGAACCACATGCCACCTCCACTCCTCACAGCAGGGAGGAGGGAATTCAGAGGGGCCAGGACTGCAGACCGTGGATCCCGTGACGATATCCGTCATAACTCACCGTGCTGGGTGAAGAGGTCACTGTGAACAATCTCAATCAAGCAGTAGAGCTTCTGAATGGTCAGCAAACCCATGGGGATGTTGAGGATGAACTCGGTGAACATTTTACTATGAGGAAGAACATGAGCAAAATTCTTGAGACACACACAGCAAACAACCCGGAGCTGTTACAAGACAGGAGGTCCCTCGAGGGTCCTGACATGCCACTGGCATGCTGGACAAGCCCCTCACACAAGATGGGCCAAAATTACACACATCCCCCAATAAATGTTTTCTTTTTTAACTCACAGTCATTAAAATAGCTATTATTCAAATGTCAGGCAATTACAAGCATTGAGGATTAAAGTAACCGGAGCCCTCCCGCCATGCTGGTGGGGGTGTGAAATAGTACGGTCACTTTGGAACGTGGTTGGCTATTTTCTCAAAATGTTAGACATCGTCATCGTGTAAATCAGCAATTCCAATTATTAATTATAAACTCAATAAAATAAAGTATATATCCACACAAAAACGTGCATATGACTCCAAGTGACAACACTGTTAAATAGTACTGAAAAGGGAGAAACGACCAAATATCCATGAGCTGGGGAGGAGATGTACACGTCTGTCCATAAAATTCATCCAAAAAAAGAAGGAAGCACTGACCCTTGCTACAACCCAGGTGAACCTTGAAACATGACGCTAAGTGAAAGCCAATGTTGAAGGAGCCCATTTATGAAACACCTGGAGAAGCTAAATCTACAGATACAAAGAATAGATGGGTGATTGCCTAGGGCAGGGGTAGCAGTGAGAAAGGACCGGTAATGGCACGAGGGATCTTACTGAGGAAATAAAATGTTCTGAAACATGCACTAAAAAATCTAATGAACCGAACACTATAAAACAGGTGACTTCAGAGTATTCACCTAGTATTTCAATAAAAACACTTAAAACTTTCCTTTCACAAATGGCCAGAACTATGAAGGAATACCAGAAGAGCACCCACCGGCACCTCAAGGAAAGCAAGAAGAACGGGAAGTACTGCTTATGGGTCAACAGGCTGGTCCTGTCAAAGGCTCGTTCCCAGCACTGCAAAGTCTGGGTATGGAGACAGTGGAGACGAACTAATGGAATGTCAGTTTGACCTTTGGGATTTTAAATATCTATTAAAAATCTTTTAAGAAAATATAAGAACAAGTAATTCCACTTCTTTGATTATCCTAATGATATACAATTAAGCTACAAAAAACGCATCCCTGTATATTTTGTAAAGATCAAGAGCAGACTTCACTCGGCACCCTTCAGGCAGCACAATAGTTAGAGGCCCTTTCTTTATAATCAGAAAGCCAGGGTTGGCCTTGAACCAGTGCCACTGGCCAGCTGAGTGACTGCAGAGAGCAAAATTAGGCTAATAATAGAGCCAATGTCATGCCATTGTTGTGAAGACTAATCGACTCGCACCTGGAGGTGCTTTGTGAAATGCCCATTTTGTACGGAGAAAGCACATAATAGATGTCACGTCTGTGGTTGTGGCTTAAGCAAACGATGGTCCAGCACAGAACGGTACACCGTGAAAGTCATTCATGATCACGAAGCAGAAGAGGGTTTGAAGACCCGGGAAATAAGATGGGTCAGTGCAGGAGTGGTCCTAGAGAAAAGAAGGTGGGCCTCTGAGGGGGGTGTGTGCAGCGTGAAGGATCCAGGTCTTTCTGGCTGTGTCTGGGCAGTGGACTTAAGTGTGAGTTTTTCCTCCTGTGATCACTTCCACTTTGTTAAAACACGGGTCGATGATCCAAGCAGGAAAACATACAAACATGACTTTTCATGTCACGTTTGAAAGCAGTATAAAAGGGACTGATGGGGACAGACGTGCACCAAGAACAGGGCCCTGGGCAGGACTTCCCTGGAGCTCCAAGCATGAGGCTCGAGCAGGGACAGTGACTCTGCTGTGCTCCTCTGATGGACAAGAGGCGGATCCCCCTGAGCACAGAAGGATGGGGGCAGAGTATGGCCGCACCCCACTAGACGCAGCTTCCACGCCTCCCCTGTTTCTCCAGCCCTGAGCTCTCCAACATGTGCCGGATGTCTTTGAGGGCTGCACAGAGACACCACGGGGTGACATGTTCCAGGGCAAAAGGAAGGACCTGGTCGCTAGTTCCCTCCTCAGTGAAAGTCCAGTGGCTGTCTCCCTCCCAGTTTGTCTTTGGGGATTTAAAACATTCTTGTCTGATTCTTCCGCCTGACGTTCTCAGCCCCTCCCTCAGGAGCTCAGGAGAAGCTGCACCCGTTATAAAGAAGGGGAGGTGACACAAGAGCAGGAGAACACCTATGTGAGGACTTTCAGGTGCTGAAAACAAAACAAAGTGAAACAAAAACCAACAGCCACAAATTGAAAATCAAAACCTAACCGTGCAAAATGCCCAACTGGCGTCGTACTCCCAGTGCCTGCTGATGGGTGACAACTTCCCCACACAAAGTCACAATTAGCAAAGTGACAGACACCAGCAGCAGCCCATGCCCCAGGACGGTCCAGGGCACTGACCCGTGCAGACCCGAGGCAGGCCCGGAGCATGCCCCGGCCGACAGCAGCCCCAGGAAGAAGTGATGGGTGAGCACCCGCCTGGCGCCTAGTTACCTGAGCTCCTTGGGGTCGAACACCAGCTTCACGTCGTTGACGATGGTCGGCAGGTACTTCAGGGCCGCCCCCTGCAAACCAAGAGGAGAGAGGGCTGAGCCGAATGCAGGGGCCAGCGTTGGCAGAAATTTCTAATTCCTATCAAGACCACAGACGTGGCAAGAAGAGAACCTCTTCAGACAGAGGCTGACGGCTGAGCGTGAGGAGGGTGAAGGCAGCTCCTCCAGGCCACAGAAGGGCAGGAGCTAGCATGGACACGCGACCGACGCAAGACAGCACAAGGGACAGCAACAGGAACCCACACCTAGCCCGCAGGCAGAGCACCGCCCTGTCACTAATGTGGCATTAACATGGCCTCCTGACAAGGCTTCACGCAATGAAACCAAGAGGGCCCCAGAAGACCTTCTCGCCTGAAGCCCAGTCCTCACTCAGCAATGCAGACACAATGCCCTCGCTCCATCCTAAAACCCGTCTCCTACATACCCGTGTATCCCTAGTTAAGGAATCATTTTGTTCTTTAGTAACAAGTTCTGCTTTATCTGGAAAACCCACAGCCTTGGTCAGTGCAGTAACGGTGATCACAGACCCCGCTGCCCGCATTGCACGGGGCCTGGGCCCTGCGAAGCTCAGCACTAATTCTAGCCGACCCACTTCCGGGAGTTAGCTGTGTTGGAAGAAGCAGGTGACAAGGGAGACATTAATGACGCTGCCCCTGTTCACACAGCAAGTAATGAACTAAGCTGGAATTAAAATTCAATTTGGGGTATGCCGCAGACCCAAGGCTTTTGTTACACACTGCTGGGGAACAGTCCTGGATCTCAAGCGTCCTGACCTGGCTTTGCCACCTGTGACTCTAATTCCTTCATGGAGGTAGGCTGAGTTCTACCTCCATGAAGGAAACTGGCCCGTGCCAGCTACATCAAGGGAATGCATTAACACTTAGATTCAAATTGAGAAGACAACAGGACACCCCTGTGCACACTGGAAAATATTACACCCATTACGTGAACAGTTGTTATTACCACCCTCCAAAAGCAAGTAGTCAGAAACTCGCCCCAAAAATATTACCCTGGGGCTGGGGATGTAGCTCAATATGCAGCTCAATATGCAGTGGCTTGCCCAACATGCAGGAGGCCCTGGGTTGGATCCCGGAACATATGCAGTCAATGGATTTGCTACCAGAGTTCACTGACCCCTATACCAACCTCAAATAAATTCCATTCCATAGCTCACATGTATACAAAAGTCAACTTCAAATGCAGCACAGATCTTACATGAACCTTGGAACTATGAAACTTCAGGAGAGAACACTTGTGACTCTGGGTTAAGCAAAGATTTGTAAGATGTGATACTAACAACACAATCTTTAAATGAAAACATCCCAACAAAAGAGCTTGGACTCTTGGAAAAGTGCTGTTTAGATAACAAAACCGGAGACACGCACAGTGTGGGGAGAGTGTTGCAGGATCTGATGGAGACTGGTATCCAGGATGTACCAAGAGCTCTTAAAGCTCAGCCATAAGAAAACAATCCTCCACCGCTGCCGCCAAAGCGGGGGGCACTTCTCGGAGGAGGACACATGGATAGCAGATAAGGACCAAGCAACTTACTCAGCACCACTACTCATCAGGGAAGGGCAAACTAAAATGACCACAGTGAGAGACCACGACCGTCCATTAGAAAGGCTAAAAACAACTCAAAAGAGAACTCCAAGAATGTGCCGTGTGCATTCGCTGCTGGTCTGAGTGCAAAAATATTTAGGAGACTTTAGAAAAGAACATGGTGGTCTCAACGTGAGCCATGAGTGATCCCCGAAACTGGGTAGCTGCACTCCTGCATATTGACTCAGATGAAATGAAAACGGATATTCCCAAAAACCCCGCAAGTGAAAAGTTGAGAGCAGCTTTATTTATAATCCATAAAAATTAGAAGCAGCCCTAATGTCCCTCAAGAGGTGAACCCACACCATGGAGCTCTACTCAGTACCACAGAAAGAAGGGACCACTGACCAACACTCCAGGAAGCTCCGACGAACCCAGGAGGAAAAAAACGAGGCTAACGTGAAAGACGACGTGATTCCATTCCAGGCCACTCTGGAAAGGGAAAACCTGCGTGGTGGCCAGGTGGGAGAGGGGTTGTCTGCAGTCGGAGCGGGTCCAGCCCAGAGACCCTTCGGCAGGGCAACTGTGTTACGCTTCTGTGGAAAGCTACGAACTTCCCAATAAGGAGGAGTGTGTTTTACTGAGTGTAAATTATACCTTAATTTGAAAAGTGATTAAAAACATATTACCTAGATGACGCTGCCCCTATCAGGTATGGAAAATGCCTGACAGAAGGCTGAGCACGAGTCCCATCTCTGGTGCCCAGGATGGAGGATCCAGAGTTGAGTCACTTTTAATGAGTCTGAGTTTCCTGATCTACCAAACGTGAGCACCCTGCACACGCCAGACATGTATCTGGCTGCTCCTCTAAACTGACGTGTGAAATCCTCATGGCAACCTCTGGAGCCGGTCCAGGATCGTCCCCTGTCACCCATGAGAATGTGAAGGTGCAAAAAAGAGAAGTCATTTGCTCAGAAGGGCACTGCTGGGATTTGCAGCAGCCTGCCCGCTCCAAGGCTGGTGCTGCCAACCCCCTGCACCACCTTCACTGCACTTCCCAGCACTCCCAGGCCAGAGGACAGGGGCAGGGGACAACTTCCACCCCTAAATCTCCACTGCAGAATCACAGGCACGATGGCTGCTCTTTCCGCTGGTAACCCAGCCCTCAATGCCAACCCAACTGAGGGATTCCAATTATCTGCGGGGAGCTGCAGTCCAACAGCATTAACTAGGAATAATTTCATGCCCGTTTCAGACGTTCTGCTTCGACTACCTCAGAGTCAGTTTGAGAAACTAGAAAATATTTATCGTGACATTTAATAATAAGCGTTTGCACAGGCTGATTGCTTTCCGTCTCTTAACGTGTCTCGTTTAGTCTGTGGATGTCCAGAGGGTGAGGGACGGCTTGGCTTCCTGCATTTTATACCGTACCCAACAAAGCATCCTCTGCCTGCAGCCGCTTCATAAATACCACTTCACAAGGACAGAGCGACAGCGACACACAAGAACAGGCCTTTGTGGCCTGTCTGCCCAGGGGCCTCTTCGGCCACCCAACCTGTGTTAACCAGGATAGGCAGAGGGCCAGGACAGCCAGGGCTCCCGGGCTTCCCTGCCCATTCCCCAGGCCTCCCACACCAAGTGTGTCCTCCAAGGAGACCGTGCCTGCTGAGGCAAGGCCTATGGGGGCTGCTGGGATGGAAGGGTGGTCCTGGCTCAGGAGGACCTACTGCAGGAGCTGCTGGGATGGAAGGGTGGTCCTGGCTCAGGAGGACCTACCTCCAGGGGCTGCTGGGATGGAAGGGTGGTCCTGGCTCAGGAGGACCTATCTGCAGGGGCTGCTGGGATGGAAGGGTGGTCCTGGCTCAGGAGG